ACACTTCCATATATGTGTAGTTTGACAGCTGCTATTCTAGTGAAAATAAACCTTTTGGTTTGTTTTATCTAAATATCAAGGACTCGTGCAACTATAAAATAAAACCTCCTCTTGAGTAAGAGAAAGTGAGTCGCAAACCCCCAAACCAAATATGAGCAGAGTGGTGTATGCAGTTCAGTGCAGTGAGGAATAATCTGATTTTTATATTGGAGAAACCAAACAACCTCTCCATAGACGCATGGCCCAACACAGAAGAGCTACCTCCTCCGGACAAGACTGTGCGGTAGATCTACACTTTATGGACAAAGGACATTCTTTTGAGGACCCAAATGTTCATATTTTGGATAAAGAAAAAAGGTGTTTTAAGAGGTGCGTGAAGGAAGCCATCAATGTTAAGAAAGAAAAAAACAACCTTAAACAGAGGGGGTGGACTCAGGTCGCAGCTTTCAAAAACCTAAAATGCAGCAATTGAGTTAATCCCTTCCCATTATCATCGCAGCCCCACCCACTGTACAGGAGAGCAGTGGACCTTGTCTATTCAGTCAGGCCAAAAATCCCCTTTAACGACTGACCTTTCAGAAACTTAGATGGGTATGGGGCATTGCAGGCTAACAAAAGAAGCCAAACGACCCCCATTCCAAATGGGACCCCTTCATTTGTTCCAATTTGCATGTTTTCAAAACAAAAACAAGGCTTTGTTGGGCTGCTGTATAAAACCTCGAACTCAATGCCATTCCTGATATTCGAATTTAAAAATCTTCCTGGATGGGAAGCAAAACGTCTTCAAACAGGGGGAAAAAAATCCAGTGGATTGTTTTTAATAATTGGAGAAAAAGTCAACAGGATGGAGAAGTATATCTACCTAAGTGTTCACCTGGTCAGCTGACTCGACCGAAGATGCAACTTTGAAGCTGTTTACATAAAGGGGCAGAACAGACCGTAATTCTCAAGGATGACGATGACTTCAGTGTTTGCAGTAAAATGTTGCATATGTTTTATATCTTTTGTGGAGAGCATGATCTCTTCTGCCATCATTTGCCGGGGTAACGGCATCAGAGCAAATGACTTAAAGAAGCTCAACAAGCTGATAAAGAAGGCAGACTTTGTTCTGGGAATTCCTATAGAATATCTGAGGATGATTTGACAAAGAGGGGGTAAAAAAAGGGGAGTACTACTGACAACCATTTTCATCCTCTTTACTGTTAAACAACAAAAGAGTGGCTTAAAACAAAGGCTTCTCAAAATATGGCACAAGACACCACTATAGAAGATTCTTCCTTCCTACCATTATTATCATAAAAAGAGTATTGGAAAATGAGCAAAACAAAAAAAATTAAATTTTCCTTGGGAAAAATAAATCATTTCTGAATTGAACTTCATAAAAGTTATCTAAAATAAGATAATGTAAAGAAGAATTCAGCAGCAAACATACCGCAAATATTTTGACAATTCTATCCAACAACAAAAAAAAGTTAGATATAAATTACAACATTGTGTAGATGCTTCATACCATTTCTCATCTAATGTAAGTTTTCAAATGGCCACTCAGAGCAGAGGATGAACCAAAAAGAGGGAAGAAAAAGCCTTTTCAATCATGCCACCACCATTAGGCCAACCACTTCTCTGCTTTGGATCATAGAATGTAGATGCATCAGCCCAAATCCTCAGAAATGTTGTATAAATATCTACTGATAACATATAAAAAATATCTTGCTTAATAAACTGATGCAGGAATGACCACACACAGACTAATATTAAAAAGAGGCAGACTCAATAAAGGAGACCTAAAAGACACACAAAATCACTCTAGACATGTACACACAGTACAAGGTTAAACAGGGGTGAAAGTGTCTTTCTTCCATTTTGCTGTGTTCCATTTATGGCAGATTGAGTCTTGAAGTGCGCTCTAAGCAGGCCTGCAGCACACTGGTTTGAATTACTTCACATTAAAGACTATTCAGCATCACTGCTGCCCGCAGAATGCAATCTCGCATTTATGTGCATGTGTAAGGACTATACCAGAATGATTACCCTGCAGTCAACACTTTTTTGATATAGCCTATTCATAAACCAGCACAGTCATTTACATATTCATATTATAAATAAAATAATATACATATATAATTTTTCACAAATTGTGGCAAAGTAAATGTGTACTGTATAAATAATCTTTCCCATGACTTTATATGAATATTCATTTAAAATTATCTATCTGTCTCTCTCTGTCTATCAAGACAGAGAGAGACACAGAGATGAAATAACATGGCTTCACATTAGTGTCTTTCAGATTGCGACACTTCTTAGACATTGACACCATTAAAAAAAAGTAGCCTGGAGGTTCACAAGTTCCCTGAAACCCACTCTCATTCAGGGCTGTGGCTGCATCAGCAGTGATGACTCATCATGTTATATGATAGTTTTCCTAATAGCTCTTTTATTTCTATTCTCCAGATGCTTCCATTTATCAGCTTGTACAACAGCTGGCAGCATTCTTGAAGGCCCTGTGCTTATGTTGTGGAAAAAGGAAGTTCTGTCAGGAAGTAGTGGAAGATGCATACACCCCAGATAGCCTTAGGACTATCTTAAAACGTTGACGGAAAGCAAAAGTTAAACAGACTTTCTAGATTAGGTTCTTTTTTTTTTTTTTTCTATTTAGCACCATGTCTCACCCTGACTGTTTTATTCAAGTAATATCAAAAAACTAAACAGAAAAAAAATTGTTTCAACTCAAAAGCATCAGATAAAAGTTTTTTTAAGTACATTTTTTGGGCATTTTGCATTGCTGATCATTAGCTTTTAAATTTCCTTTTTATTTTGCATGGAAATAATGTTAATCTAATAAGATACCTGTCACAGTTTTAACTGTGCCACAGTAAACATTGCCACAGCAAATTACCTCATTTAGATCTTGGTCCAAGAGCAGAACTATTAGCATGCAGGTTACTGTACTGAGATTAGTCGGGATTTAGATGGTTGAAAAAGCGGAGAGATCTCTCCTCTCGTTGTACAGCAAACCTCCGGTGGTCTAAGCAGTTTTGGCTGTGGACAATGAATGCTAAGAGGCTAAACAAACTGTTTCTTGTTCTTGCCATCTCAAGATCATTGAACAAATTTCTCGGTACCTGCAGTGTGTAGAAAGGTGTAAGGTACACAGGATATAGCAGAGGTTGTTTTGTTTGGCTTTAAAACATACATTTACTGTTTTACATTTGTCTGTGCAGATTATAAGTTAAGAATTATAAAAGTCAACCACAATTACTGATCTCAGTATAAAACAGTTCAGCAGGTTTAAAAAGAAAATAATTTTAAAACATGCTGAAGTTCTAATGGCACCTGGTTCTTATAGATAGAAACTTTTAATAAGATTGCACAATTATGACCAATTCAGTACAGACCACTGAATACGGGCTCACGTACTCAGTACATTCTTGACAAGAACACAGGAAAGTATGGACTTGGGGAGAACAGGAGCATGCAGAATAAATAGAGGACAGTTGGAACAGAAGCGTACTCGTGACTTCCCTACAAACTCAGTTCGTTTGGAGCTGCACTTTACCTCCTATTATTAATAGTCTCTTGATAATAATAAATTCTTACTTTTTTCATTAAGTGGGTAAATAATGATTAACACAGTTAGATAAACACAGATCAAATGAATATTTTGCCAAATAAAACAAAACAAAAAACGCAATCATATCCAGCGGTACTTCACACAAGGCTACAGTATGCTGAGAGAGGAGCGCTGCAGACGGGCTAACATTAGCCTTGCAGCTCAACTGTTTGACACGGTCCTCTCAACATCTGAAAGTTATTTAAATTACACACTAAATCAGTAAATAGGCCATATAGTGAAGCTTAAGAGTATAAAGTTCCCGCTTTATATAATCCTAAAATTTACTTTTGTAGAACAACGGCAATAAAAAAGTGAACTTTTAACTAGATACCAATGCCAGCATCGGGCGAGGCCATGATACCACAATTTTAGTTTATTATCGGGGTCCTTCCCAATACTGGTATTGGTATCGGTGTTTAAAAGTTCACTTTTTCGTATCGGCGAGTACCAACAAATAGGGTACCGATACCATTTTAAGAGCCAAAAGTTTATTCAACTATTGTAACCCATTCCCGGTAGGCAATAAAAGGTTCTGTTGGATGTACTTTGTATTAGTATTTTTCCCGCTTTACAAAGGTAGGCAGGAGCTTGACAAAGCCATTATTTTAGATCCAAGTAGTATGCAGTTCTTCATATATACACACACACAAATTTCAAAAAGATGGTATCTGTATGGTATGGTATTGGTATTGGGGCCAAAAAATGGCATTGATGCAACTTTACTTTTAACCTCATACAGTGTGAGAGCTCCCCTTTAAGCTGCTGCTGCCACGGTGCATGCTGGGAAAGCGGTCAATCTTAAGAACGGAGAAGGGTGCTCTGATGCATGCTTGGTAAATAGGAAGGGGGAGAACAACATCCGAGGACTTTGTCTGTTCTTGGTGTTCTGTTCTCGTGTGTTGGAACAGTGCTGGGGCTGAGGATGATGATGATGATGACATTTCTCGAGTGCACGAGAACGCAAATGTACACATATTAAAAACTGAAACTTAAACTTAAATGCTTATTTGTAAAGTCAGTTAGGCTATAATACACTTTTTCAATTTGGGTCACTTTATAAGGAGCCAAATACAAAAAATATATAATATTGTATTGTAAGCATTTGATAACTAGTAGTTTTAGAGGTTGATCATTACTTATTCTGCCAAAAAATAAATAAATAAATGTTAAATATGCTTTTGTTATTTCAGTAATTTCTTATTTTCTTCTCAAAAAACTACAATCAAATATCTTGGTGGAAATAAGATAAGTGATTATGCTGAGACAAAGGGTAATTTTAACTCAAAGTTCTCATTACTGTGAGGATCTTATACTGTCTAATGACTAGTAAGGAATTCCCAGAGAATTCTAACAGATTTAATAAAGAATACTGATACGTCAAACTGACCCTTCGGGTTGCTGTAGATAGTTCTTCATGGCTTTGACCTGCTGGAAATGACAGGACATGTCTGTGGCCAGGACCATTTCAATCACCAGAGCCCGTAGCTCTCTGGGTAAAGACATTGGAGAAAAAAAAAACAAATTAGCTACAAGCATCTTAAATAACTAGAAACTTGAAAGTTGTAAAAGCATAAATATTCCAAAAAGAAGCTGCAGTAAAAATAAGAGAAAAATAAGTATAAATAAGTATAATAGCCTCTTTAACTTAGTTTACTAGGATTTGATCAGATCTTTCTTCTGTAGTGTTTCATGATTAAAAAAACTTCATAAATTTTGTCAAACCTTGAGGATTATCTAACAACCCTGATGTCAATAATTAATCTAAATAAAATAAGGTTGTGTTGAGGCCTTGAATTGGTATATAATATCATATTAATCTCTAACTGCAAGTTTTATCAATTGAATCTTTCATATCCTTTACAGTCATTCATGCCTTTCAACTACATGTGCCACAGACCTCCAGTCATCCTTAGAGAGGTTGTAAAGGATGTTCATCTCATCGTCGTCTTGCAGTAGACGGTAGGCTGCGCTGACGTGGTGACTCTCCAACACTGAGCGATCATTGTACAGGATAGCTGTGTCTGACCTTCCAGATTAAGAACAAGTAAAACATCTCACTAGGATGGTCTGTACAGGTTGCAGAAACTTTAGGACAAAATATGAAAAATCAATCATGATTATACATTTTTATTTTGCTCAACAAAGAGCATAATTTATCACTAGAACTAACTTAATAAAACTTTATGTGCCTGTTGAAAAGATCTATATTCTTTTTTTAAGACAAATTATAAAAATGCTGCTTGAGAAACAGAAAACTTCTAAATTTGAAGTTTATGTTAATTATTTTCCTTTTCTTTCTCTGCAGTTAATTATTTTCTCATTCCCCTTGCCCATACTGAAATACAAATTTTATTATTATTTAACTATTATTTGGCAGGTAATATTGTTTAAGGATATAAAAACTTTAGATTCTGGAAGCTAGTTTGAATAAAATCTGTTAAGTGTTGTATGGTTGTAATACAATACTTTGACATAACACAGTGTGACTTAATGTTCCTTTCAGCTTTAAACCTGAAATTTTGAGGTTGAGTAAAATGTGACGTTTTTTAAAAGCCTAAACTTTTGAGTTCACCAACATCCATCCAGTTATTATTACACTGCGGGCGATCACAGTGTGAATGTAAAGCCCCCTTGCTGTAAATGAAATCATTGATTGGGTGAGTCAGCGCCATGCATTTTTGATTTTATCATCCATTACCTTGTCTGGATATGAAAGTTGTTTGTGGTCCCTGTGTGCTCGTAGTCGTGCACAGCAGCTGCAAATATCATGGCGAAGATCTCCAATTCAGTCAACCAATGCTGGAGGAGGGGAGGAGAAGAAAGTGAAGTCACCAAAATGGAAAAGTTGATGCTAGTGACAAGCAAGGAAGGAAACGAAAAAGGAAAGAATGGACAGAGAATAGACAAGAGAAATGGGAAGTCAGTGATGGGGAATGCAGGGAACAGCACATTAGCCCATAAATGGATTACAGAGGAATATGACATAAAAGACTCAGAGAAGAATTTGGCATGAGGAATACATTACTATTGAATGTTGTTTCATTTGCATATTGTGTTCTGGAGTTCTGTTTTTACTTTAAAGAGCATAGTTCTATTCAAATAAAACAAAACTCTTCAAGATAATGTAGGGAGGGGTGACCTCGTGGTTAGGGCATTGCGCTTGGAAATCCAAAGGTTGTGAGTTGAACCCCCACTCCCACAGACTGCCACTCTGGGTCCCTGAGCAAAGACCATATACCCACACTGCCCCCCGTGCTTAGCATAATGGCAGCACACTGCTCCCCAAAGAAGATGGGTTAAAGGCAGAGAGTGAATTTTGTTATTCTGTACTTGTGCGAGTGTAATGGCAATAAAAGCCGGGGAAAGTAAACTGCCAAGAGCAAAAGTGGAGGCTGAGTAGAGAGTGAGAATTAATCAGCGCTAAGGGCAGAGCTGCTGTGGCTGATGCTCAGACAATGCCAGCCGTCTCACTGCACAGGTTTCTTTTTGGTTAAGTTTAAAGTCACCCTACACCTTTAAAACTCAATCTCCTTCTCTGTGCCTCTTTTAACTCTTGGTTGTTTTCCTCCATTGTTGACAACTGCGCTTGGCAACCATGTATCAGCAGGGCAGGCTATCATTAGCCGGAACAACCCACCTGGAACATAGTAAGTGTAATATTAAATTAACCCTTGAAGGAGATCATTTGCCTTGATTAATTTAAGTAATCAAGGTCCTCAAATCATTTGAGGAATGGTTACAGCCCTAATACAAAGCATAGTCACCAATGATAAGTTTTAGCTCCAATAAATTGAAAGTAGATAGAGCAGTTAGAGTTGCACCAAACATTCAGCGTCATATCAGTTTAAAGAAATAGAAAAGAATAGATAGATGTTATTAGACTTTTTATTCAAGGTAGTAAAATGAAGCTGCTCTCAACTCATCAAATTTGGCCATAACATTAGCCAAAATGTTTGTAAGGCACACACCTGTCATCGCGTTTGACTATGTTCTATCATTTTAGTTTTGATGTGTGGAAGTGTTGGTCAAACGTTTACATATATGCAAACTAGCAAGCAAGAATGTGCAATGGATCGACAACATTTGAGAGCACCTCCCTTGGAAATCGGGTCTATCATTGCTGTTAGATTATTTTGTGACTATGTAATTGAACACTTGCCATTTTCATTAGTGTTAACACACTTGCCTTCAGTAACTTAGCTGTAGATGCAACCGACCAAACAGGGATGTCCTTGTGTTTATTAAGTTCTCTTTTTAAACTGAATAAGTAATATGCCTGCTCAGGCAAATTTTTCATAGATACACTTTTTCTTTGATAAAGGTCAGATATTTCAGCCATTCACAGTGGTGTTAAGAATAAATGGAGATGTGTTTGGCTGACAGAAACAGAAGAGAATGGGATGATTGTCTGGTTATGGTGCAAAAAGCTTAACCTGCCAGACAAGTGTACATAACATGCTGCCCAAAAATTAGTTGAGGCAGTGATAAGGATAAAAGTGCTAATGCTCCATCAATTGGAGAACAAACCCAAGTCGATAGTTTTTTAATTGCATGCCAAAATCTTTAACTGTATAAATATCAAATAGGTGAAAGAGCAATTTCAATTTGTTCATTAGTAGTTAGGATATTCCAAAAAAAAGTTAAAAAACAATCAACTGGACTTTGTTACCAAGTTTGAAGATGTTTCGCTTCCCATCCAGGAAGCTTTTTCAATTCAAAATGTCAGAATTAGCATTGAGTTTGTGGCATATTTAACCCGAGGAAGGGGTCCATCCCTTAGGTAGTTAGGATACAGTAGTTAGGTCACCGTTTAATGTTAGAGTACATTTTATTTATAGGCACCTTTCAATATCACCCTATGGATAAATGTGGTACTTAACAAAGTCATAAAATGTACATAACATTCCAAAATAAACAAACAGAAAAAAACACAATTAAAAAGAATAAAACATTGAACCAAATATCTACTACCAAGAATTTCTAACTAGTGTAGAGTAAGCAACCCTAAGTAGGTGGGTTTTCAGCTATGGCCTGAAGTGAGGAAGAGATCTTACATTAATTTGGATAAATATTGTTGTAAGATTAAGCACAATCAATGTTGGGAAGCTGAGCCTTTTTACTGCAGCATGCAGCATGACCGCCTAGAACTAATCAGCCTCTTGCTTTGTGGCACATCTGAGAACTTAGGCTTGCTTGGCAGAAGAACCTTGGAGAATCCCGCATGTGACTTTTCTGATCACTGATTTAAAGTTCCCAACTGACACATTAAAGTCCCCGTCCTTCAGGTAGGGTTTAAACCAGTCCAGTGTGTCACCAGAAAGGCCAACCCATGTTTCCAGATGCTCTAAGAAATTCAAGTCATTAACAGTATCAAATGCTGTACTGAGATCCATTAGAGCACAGTGGTTATTCCAGAGTCTGAATTTACACCTTAAAGGAATAGTACACCCAAAACATGATTAGCCTTCATTTTCTACCCACCTCCATGCTGAACAACACTCTGGAGTACTTTTTTGATATCTCAAATGCATCTGGAGATCTGGGAGGCTTCTTGCTGTCTGCTGACATTCAAATAATGGAGGTCCATGGCGCCCGAGACAGAAAGGTCCATAAAAGTCCACAAAAACGTGTCAATATTCCTCCATACTGCTCGTCCAATGTAATCCAAGTGTCCTGAGTGGGTAGCATCCAGAATTTACTCGAAACGAAGTCATTTAGAATGTTTTTAGAGCATAAACAGTAGTGTATAGGATTTCCTAATAGCGCCCCCATGCGCGCTCACGATTCTACGGAAGCCGGCAGACCAAACCGGAAGAAAGTGCGCATTCAGCGTCTGGTCTGCCGATAATGCAAGCGTAGAAGAAGAAATGTGCTGTTTACCTGTGCAAAGAAAGAAACAACGAAAGAAAAATGTCTGAGGACTTCAGTGTTGAGGAAGAGCATGAGTTCTTTGCCGAGCTGAATGCGCTGGTTTGGTCTGCCGGCTTCCGTAGAATCGTGAGCGCGCATGGGGGCGCTATTAGGAAATCCTATACACTACTGTTTATGCTCTAAAAACATTCTAAATGACTTCGTTTCGAGTAAATTCTGGATGCTACCCACTCAGGACACTTGGATTACATTGGACGAGCAGTATGGAGGAATATTGACACGTTTTTGTGGACTTTTATGGACCTTTCTGTCTCGGGCGCCATGGACCTCCATTATTTGAATGTCAGCAGACAGCAAGAAGCCTCCCAGATCTCCAGATGCATTTGAGATATCAAAAAAGTACTCCAGAGTGTTGTTCAGCATGGAGGTGAGTAGAAAATGAAGGCTAATCATGTTTTGGGTGTACTATTCCTTTAATCAGGGCAGCCATAGTTCTGTGGTTGGACCGGAAACCTGACTGGAAGACATCAAAGTAGCTGGTCATTTTTAAGAAGGCATTTAACTGTTGAAACGCTATTTTTTCAATAATTTTACTGATGAAGGGGGAGGTTTGAGATGGGCCTCTAGTTCTGTAGTTAGTTCAGTAGTTTGATATTTGCTGTTTTTAAGGCCCGGGAGAAAAAAGCCAGCATAACGAATGTGTTTATGATTTGAATCGATCCAAAAGAAGTAAAACTATCTTAATAAAATCATATTACCACATCAAAACAGCAGGAAGATGAGCTTAGCTGCTATACAGTTTCTTCTAAACTTTTTCATTTTGGTTGGCAGAATTGGGGTATTTTAACAGAGTTTATTCTAACTGAAGACAGTATTGGTATTGGAGTTGATTTTGATATACAGACTGTTTTTCTAATATCTTGTATTTTCTCAGTAAATAACTTTGGAAAGTCATTGCACACCTCCTTTAGATTAATGTGGTCACTAACCTGTGTTTTCCTCCTGCAGAGTGTCCTGCCCTAAATGTCCTAGCTGCCCTTGCAAATCCATTGTTTTTAAATAAACACTTTTTGATTAATCCTACTGTCTGTCTTGCCTTGAATATTGGGCCTGTGTTCTGAGCCTTGACATTTAGTTGTAAATTATATTTGTGAAGTTTTTCCTTACAGATTTCAAAGTGAACTTTTCCATTCTTTTGACACCTTTGTTTGGCTTTTTGGGAATTGCTGTATTACACTAAAACAGTTGGCATCTACCTTATGGAAACTAAGTGGGAAATAGTCTAATAACATATTGGAGAGCCATACCCTGACTTTTAATGATAGTTTTATATTTGTGCATTGGAAATTATCTGTTTCCTGTCATTTTCATGTTATTTTTCTTATACTTCCCCACATCCACAGTGCCAGTGATGGGTCTCCACGGTTCCACAATTTTGTTCTGTTCTGTTTCAGTTTGATTATTTTAATAAACGCTTCTACTTTTCTACTAACTATCTCACCTTGAATACTGTGTCCATCTGTGCCATTTATGACAAAACTAGGTATAAGGTACAAAATACTGAAAGGGTAAAACTACCCAGGAACAATTAAGTTCAGTGTGTATTAGTGTTTTCATATTTTAGCTTTTGCTGGATACTAAGAGTGTACACCAAACAATGGCACCACAGTGAGTGGGCAATTCCTCTAACATGAGCGACCATCGGATTGTGCTCACACACAGTGAGAGGATATAACTCAGGGAGCCCGGTCGATTTCGGAGACTAATCAACAGTGGGTTATGGGAAAGCCATTAAGAACAAGGTAGAGACAAAATGCCAAATCCAATGCCCTGTATGTCTTCATAAACCAGCTTTATGAATGACCCGTTGATTGTTGATTTAGTGAAGTCTGGAGGGGTTTTGAGAAGATAGATGGCCCTCTCCTGCTCTCCCAGGAGCCAGTGGTGGTTGGGAAATAAATGTTATTTCACCCCACAAGGCACAACCTAAAGAAACTCACAGTGTTGACAGCTGTCTCTGCCTTTTTATTATGGTGAATAAATAATAAGACTGCTTTTTCTTTGGCTAGTCACAGACTTGTCGGGCCTGTGTTTTTCATTTTGAAATTAATGTTGTGTTACATGTGCCCTAAGGTCACTTCTCTTAGAAGGTGAAAAATGTAGGTCACGACGTGTAACCAAAAAAAAACACACAAAACAAAACAACAACGCATTTGGTTAGCATAAACTGTGAGCAATACTTTACGGCAAAAACAAACAGATTTATTTTTCAGACTAAATTATTCTATCTTCTGATAATTTTATATGTTACTGCTACCCGCTAACTAACAAAGTGGATTCAAAGTGTACTGGGAGAGTTGTTTTCCAATAAAATATGTTCATGGTTTGCTCAGGGATAAAATGACCATAATAAGAAACGTCAAGAACACTTCAATCAGGCTTGCAAACATCAGCTACAGAGATGCACTGAATACCAGTGGGATAAAATCCCTTTCATTGATTCAGCTTCAATCCATTAAACTACATCTTCTAGAACCCACCTGCACTAAGCTCTTTCCTCTAGATGCTGAGAGCTATGACAAAGTATTTAATCTAGCCCATGTGTTTCATACTCACCACCATGCCAGTCTTAAGAAGAAGGTAATGTACAGTCTGGGTTACATCAGCAGCATGGATAAGGTTGTGGTAAGGATTTTTATGTTTGCTGTATCCGACTTCCAGGGCTTCCACGAATGACACCACAGCAGAGATTGGAATCTGAAATGTAAAAAAAAAACCACAAGCTGTGAGTTAAAAACACTTAGAGCAGTCAGTGATGTGACCTGTGACTAAAATGCAGTGTTGAAAACTGATGTTATATAATCCATCAGACTTACCTAGTCTACAGAAAAATCTGATTGCATATTCATTCTGCTTTGTCTACATAATTCACTACCAAATGCTATCATTAGCAATGCCTTGTCCTCAGCTGTGGAAAATATAGCCCACAGCCATTAGGGGAGGTGCGTTACGTCTAGACCCTAGAATAAATTGATCAATGCCAAACTAAACTAAAACAATATAATGGAGTGTAATCATATGACTGCATTCATGAGTTTGGGGAGGTTCTTCTAAGAACTGAAGCAGGCTTCTTCAACCTCTTTTTAATGTGACAAAAGTATCAATGACCTGTGATGCAGAGTGTGACATTTTGGGGATTTTACCTTGAAACGGCTTATGAGATCGTATCTTGTTAGCAACTCATAGAATATGAATTTAAGAGCGTGATCCCCGCTGGCCTCATTTAAAGCAAAGACATCAAAAGACCATTTGTCAACATGCTGTATAGAAGAGAAGGAACATTCAAAGAATTACACTCAATTCTCAAACAACATACAGTAGTTTTTAAAAGTATACATTTTTTTGTAATAGGCAAATACAAAGTTGTTCATATTTGTGAAGTTGAAGAAAAATGAAATATTTCTGTACGTTTAAGAAAAAATAGCAAAAATGTATACATGTATACAATTCATGTAACAATACTCAACATCTGGCGCACTTTGATTATGATCCCCCTAAATACAAACTGGCTTCAGAGGCCATGTACTGGAAATTTTAAACAGATAACAAGGGTGTTAATTTTGTTCTTAGTAGAAACAAATTTTCCATTAAAGGCTTAAGAAATTAGGTTAGCCAATATTAGTGAACATGTAGCATCATGACAGGGCATATATAAAGTTTTAGGAACAGTCTAAAGCATGCGGTTGAAGCATAATGCTGTGGAATGGTTTCCTTCAAGGCTGATACAGTACAAAGATGGAGCTAACTTGAGGGCAACCCTATGAGAAAATCTGTTGGGAGTCTAAAAAAGATGGTAGGGGAGGTTCACTTTAAAGTTGGATGATGACCCCAAAGATACAAACAAGGCTAAAGCTGAAATTAGATTGAAGCATGACATAGGCCAGAATACATGCAAATGCAATTGTAGAACAAAAATAATAATTTAAAAACTGCCTAGGTAGGGCTGAACATAAATCTGACTGTCCACAAAGCATAATGTGAAAGCCACATACCACCTTTTCCATTTCTCACTAATCCACCAACCGTGTTGATATTTTAAAATAAATCCCAATAAATAGATTAAGGTTTCTAGTTGCAAGATGAGAATTTGGGAAGATTCAAAGAGTTTAAATGTTTATGAAAACCATTAAAATGCACAAACCTCAAAGTATTGGTAAATTCAAAGGAAATTGTGCTAAAGGTTTATATTGTATGTCTTTTTGTTTGCTTTTGCATTTGTGTGTATGCACATGTTAATACCTTAAGCACAGATATGACAGATGCAGGGTAGCTGAGCCCCACCATATTTGAGGTGCGTCGGTACATCCTGTTTGGATGAGATAAAGACATCAAATGCAGTGCCTTGCAGAGTGCAAATATCTTAAGAAAACACCATGCCCCTAAACTACAGCTTGGGATGTTTCCCTAGACTAAGCTGTCAACGTAAAACACAACTTAGACTGAAAGAGTGATAAATTCAAGAGTAAATAAATGGTTTGCTTCAGGCTATTCTACTTGAAAGATACCGGTTGAAAGTACTAAAGTTATGTTTACGCTGATAAAAAAATTAAATAATGTGGGTAATTTTCCATAAAATTGTTTACAACATTAACGCTGCAAAACTGTGTTGTTTTAAAAACCAAACATTTATTAGTGATTAACAGATGCGGAGACATGGAATTACATTTCTATTTAGGAAAGGGGTACATGTTATTTAAATTTTCAAACGCTGACAATTTGGACTCTACCCACAGCTCCACTTCGTCGTCACACATATTCTCACTTTTCCCAGTATTTGTCGTATCTGTAGAGTGCCTCCTGAAAAGGTAATTTAACTGGATATTCCTTACATAGTTTTAGCCTAATGATATAGAAAGAGCTTGCTGTATGTTACTGTGCGATAAAGCACAGCTTTGGAGAGACAGCTGGCTGACTTACTGCGCTCAGCAAGGCTTGCCAAGGCTATAATAATGTATCACTGGCTCAGGTGATGCAGCACTGTGCAAAAGCTGCACACATCTTCAAAACAACCATTTTTAAAGTTAAAGGGGGCCGCATATTATCAAGAATCATGATTCCTACTGCAATATACAAGATGTTCATGTTAACCTTAATTTAAACACAATTTCAATATTGCATATATTTACTTTCACTCAAATTCCAAAATTGAATCTGGTATTTACTGTTTGTGAGCATGTTCAAGTAAAGGCAAAGAAGCTATAAGGAATGCTATAATCCTTTCAGGAACATAAGGGCACAGCTCACCTAATGGAAATCTTCAGAGAGAAGAGAGTATGCACTAGTTCTACTGTATTTAAAGTGACATCATTGCTTTACCGGCACTGTGTAATATATGCATTTATGTTATGGGTTGCATAATGGATAGCCTCAGCTTTTTACAACATTTGTAAAACTTGTATTTTTGTAGTTCTTATTCATAACATTTCAGTTCCAATTTAATAAGAACCATCAATGTTTTTCCTTTAACATAATGATTTCCAGGCTGTCCATAATCTGCACAGCAGTCAAGAGTTTCTTTCCTACCCACAATAGTGTGTTTACCGCTGATTTCATGAAAGATGAAGGAACAGAAGCCAGGAATAAGAGCTTAGAACTACATTTAAGGACTACGATCTTTTGAGTCTTGTAGCAATCAATTTGGAAGAAAAAGAAAGAATTCATCATAAAGGGAGTTTTGTATCAAGAAGCCGCCAAAACTATTTCATTTTTGTTTTCTTGGTTCTTTCAATTTCTTCATAAAGGGTATGCTGTCCAAGAAAATTTTTTTATTACATTCATTATATTATATTTATTATTTTACTTCTATTGAGGGTGGCACAAACAAGAAAATATTGTTTATACTCAAGAAATTTCATAATGTTCATGAATTCAAGTGTAGATGGCCTGGATGTCTTCAAAGGTTACTCCTTGAAAAATAATTTCTAACTGGACATACAGTACTGTGTCCAGATTATGTGTAATAAAAAAAAATAAAAAATAAAACCCAATCAAGGCTTCAGAGCAGGTTGATTCAATTTAATTTTAATAACCATGGGGTAAGTATAATTTATATACCTCTGTTTTAACTTTGCACTATTGGGTCAAGTCCTAGATCACTGTTTTTCATCATCAATCCACTTGGCTTATATCCAGTAATCAGGGTACTGATATTTACTTTGGGATTTTCTGTTGGGTCTGTGCCTAATCATGTGTAGTTTCAGTGTTATGTTGCAAAATGTTTAAATTTTTGGCAAGCATTTTAAACTCTAATGATATTTTAACATTGTTGTAGCTTTTTTGCCAGCCTGACAACAAACTCCTGCTCCACTGTTACATTTATTGCATTTTATGACTTATCTGCTGACCATAAACCTTTCTTTATAACATCTCTCTCAAAAAGTTTTGCTAATATATTGTTTGTATTTTAAACACAAACTTGTAAATTCATATTAATGTTAAAACACAAAGGGTTTGACCGGTAGAACATTAACATTGCTAAAAATAAATGTGTTTTCTTTCATTTAAATTCTAACTATAGTCAAAATATGGATGAATCATGCTTTTACTCATGTTTTAACCAGAGCCAATTTACAAATGTTGATAGGATTTCTTTAAGTCCCTGCAGGCACCTCTTGTTTGGGCTCATAGAGGATAGATTTACAAATCTATGTGACTGCCCTTGTAAATTATTTATTATCTGCACTGCATGTTTGATAGTGGTGGTGAGAATAATTTAGCACATCATGTTAACTTTACCTCTCAACAAAGATTCCAGCCTGAACAGCATGGACAATGCTACGAAAACGAGGTTTTTCTTCATTTCGCCGCAGCATCAGGCCCATCTGCCTGGTAAAGGTGGAGGCCAGCCAGTCTCGCACCTCTGAAGGCACAGACTCTGACTGGATGTCACTGAGCTCATCTTCTGTGTCCACCAGTCGCCTGGAAAAAGAGATGAAAGTGAAAGACAAAAAAAAAAAGATAAAAAATTAGAAGGAGACACGGGGAAGTGAGAGATACACTGCGGATTAAACATAAATCCTAGACCTGTCAATCAAATATATCACCTGTTATATAAAGTCATAACATCATAGAAACCCACCAATGCTCAAAACAAATCCTATTGGGTGACATAGCTTCTCCATAGCCTCACTAACATGTGAAAAGGATCAAAGGCTAAGGGCTGTTCTTGTTCAAAAGACATTCACATCATTCTGATTATGATGGCACTGCATGAATTCTGCACTTGATAGTTCATCATCCTTTCTCTTGGACTGGAGTCAGAGCCCCGTTGACCCTAATCTGTTTGAATCTAGACGATAAGGAGTTTACGTAATTCCCAAAGCCTACTCATAGCTTATATTCTAAAATGCCGCTCAAATATTGAAATTCATAGACCAAGTTTATTCCTACTTCAATTGTACCTCAAAAGACTTTCAAACATGCAGCCAAATTTGTTTAGCTGTCAGTCATTCAAATGCAAGGTCTTTTTAAAAGTACATACCATCTGCCAATGTAAGCCATGCAGACATTTCGATGATGCAAGAATTGAAAGAAAAAATGAAAAAAAAAAAAACTTTAACGACATACAGTTACTATAACATAGACATACACATACATCCTCACAGCTCTGACTAAATACTTATTGCTATGCAGGTTAAACAATAATGTCTTTGCTTGTTTTACACAGTCCACAGTTACACAGTTTATTATAATGAGTCATTTTTGTTTTCATATTCTATTTATTTTGTGTTGCAAATAAAACTTAAAATAATTTCATTTCTAAAAAGGTCTGGAGAATCTTGTATGATTTAGTCATTTAAAACCCAAAAGACTGAAGATAACTATTGGAAATGGTCATTTAACAAAATTTCACCTGAGAGTAAGACACCGTAGACCTTATTTTTAAAGAAGGATTAGGTTTAGAATCTCTTTTGAGACATTTTACTACAGGAAGCTTTGAATTTAGTGCAGGGTATCATTTCAGCTCAAATGACCCAAAATTTAGGGCGTTTTTTTTATTTTGTTTGTTTTATATGTATTTACCTCAGGATACATCCCATAAATTAGAATATCCTTGAAAAGTTGAATCTATTTCTTGTGACCATTTCTAAAGGTAATATGCAACTGATTCATTGTGCAAAGATTAAACTAAACCCCCAAAACTTCAATTTCATAAGATAATAATGAATAAAATAATAAAAATTCAATTATTTTTAAAAGGTACGTCAAGGCCTATGCATTTATTAAAAAGACTGACACCATTCGTATGTATAGTTTGCAACAAAAGCTCTTCATAAGAAGCAGGCTGAGAAGAAGAAGCAGAATACAGGAGGCTGTATTCTTTCATATCAATGAAAAGTCAAGTCTACTGGGACAGAGGTGGTAAAAAGGGTGCAATAGCAACAGGGATCACAGCAACCTTAAGAAGATTGCAAAGAAAAGCTTATTAAAGGGTTTGGGGGCAAGTTACAAGGCGACAGACTGTGGCTTCAAGAGGAATCCAGGACATAGCCAACAACAGTCATATTCCTTATGCTAAGACACTCCTGAACCTGAGTCATCATCAGAAAAGTCTTTCATGGACAAGGAGTAAAAAAGAAAGGGCAGTCGGCCTATTCTTTTAAAAAAAGATTAGCAAACTTTTTAATTAACTTGGAGCCTTGTAATAAAGAGGCACAGATTCCCAATTGCTTGAGATCCAACAAGTGTTCAGAGTCAGTGATTATTTGAAGACTAACGTCATCTGCAGGTGTTAGTCTAATGTATTATCAAGTCAAATATCAGAACAGATCTCTGTCAAATGATGCAAGTCATGCATCCTTCCAGGTTTGATCTTTTTAAAGATGGTGGATTCTTATTCCAGGAGGACTACACAAAGGTTGGGTCTGAATGTCTGCCCTAATCACTATATAGGGCACTATATAGTGGTTAAGCCATTTTAAATGAGTGTCAGAGCTCATAACTCTGATTAAAAAAATTAGAATAAAAAAATAAATAAATAAAATTAAAAAAATTAATAAAAAATATTAAAAAATGTGTGTCACAACGTCTAGTGGATAAAAAAGTATTGGACTCAAAATTTCCCACAATGCACCTTGAAAAGTAGTGATCATCCATGGTCACTGTCTCTACCCGATCCGTCCCAGAAGCATGATCCGTTCTGCACATGCGCAAACAGATTTACATCCTGGTGTCCATAAATAATGTAATTACGGTACTAAGACTGCTTCTTTCTATCCTTAACTCACCAAAGAATAGTAATACACATCTGTAAAATAATGTTTTATGACTTTTGTGAGACAATTTTTATGCTTTTTACATTTTCTTCGTTAAACTGCTTCTCTGACGTCATCATCAGACATGCAATCCAGCAAAATATGGTTAAAACATGTTTATCTGCATTTTAGTTGTCTCTTTCTTTAGATTACGCAATATATAGCATAAGGTTAAAACAAACAAAAACATAAAACTTAAAAAGACTAGAATTATGTTTAAATCCAAAGCCAAAAAAGTTAGCAACTGGGAGTAGCGTAGGATCCCATTTCCGGTGCAGTTCGGGAAGAGACGAGTGATAAAACAGAAAGGATTTTAAGGCATCTTTTTATGTCAGGAATAACATGATTAGCCTTTAACACATTATATTTTAGTATGCTTACAATATTTTTGGGGAGGGAAAACATCATTTAGGTATTTTTAACAAAATAAAATTGAGGACGACCCGGATGTATATCAAATGAGCTGATGGCGCATGTGTAGAACGGATCGTGCTTCTGGGACAGATCAGGTCGTGACAGTCACTAGACGAGCAGATATAGCCCAGAATGCTTTGCAAGGAGAAAGCATTCTGGGATATATCATGGGATTTGCTGTTGCAGCAACACGCTGTCTACTATATCTGTCATCTACGGCTATCGCTACTCAATAGTGGCAACTAATAATAAAGATGATGCAAGCACTGCGCGGGGAGGTGGAGTCACATGACCAACAGTGACCAAAAAGCAGTAGTCATCTGTCCGAAGGGTCAGTTAAATGAGTTCACTATAATGTCCACTATATAGTCCTCGCTCTATAAAGAGATTGAAGGATTTAGGGGTTAGGGTGGAGATTTGGACACAGCCAAAGTAAATTATCATTACTTGCTTTAAAGACAATGGTATAACCGTATGTGATTTGCATTCTTATTTATCAGGTCATTTTACTTGGCTTAAATCCAGAATACAATCTCTGGAGTTTTTTTATCAAGAGAAATATGTGAAATTCCAGACCTAAGAATGGAGATAAACTGAAGGCTGTAAATTTCAGCATGACAACAGGATGATCAGTGATTCGGCAAAACGAGCAAAGTATACGGCTCGTATACTGCACAGTATTTCAACATTATTATCAGTCCTGTAACTGATCTGTTCAACCCAGAAGCATCTTAGATCAGAGGGCCCGGTGGTGCTGATTTTATAGCAGCTCTGCTTTGCTGATTCTGTCCCAGAGCAGCTGTAGCTATAATGCAGCCTACCATCATTTGTTTGTCTCTGTGTTTTTGAATTGGTGAAGGAATGATTGTTGTATAAAGTGCTTTGGAGTCCTTGAACTTGATAAAAGCACAATGCAAGTGTAGTCAGACCATTTACTCAGCATTGATTTCTGTTCCTTTTTTATGCTCTATTTATTCAAATAATCAGAGAACGTGAATTATGGGTTTTCTATCAGCATTAACCAATAATTATCAAAATCAACTGAAGAAAACATTTTTTATGTAACTACCAGTAAGGAATAATTAAAATTTCCAATGTCCATATTTATCAAGTTATCAATTTATTTTAAAAAATTATATTCTAAAGTATTTCTATTGAGACTAGATTGTGTTTTATGTCATACAAACTCTAGAGTTGTTAAAGAAATTAGTCCAACTGGTAAATATCTTCTTGAAACTAGTATAGGAGCAAAGGCAGGGCATTTGATCTATCCAAAGCCTACATTTCTTTTAAAGACATTACAATAAAATTTAAAGAATATAATTTTTGGTCACAATACAGGTACATCAAAAATATTATAATAATGAAAATACATAAGGTATATATAATAAAATTATACATAATAAACTATATTTCCAATAAATCTTATTCTAATAAATATTAGCTTTATCTGAAAGCTATAAACATTCAATAAAAACAAAGAAAGGTAAAAAAATACTGCATTCTATAATTAATTGATTTATACAACTTATGAGTTATGCTTTCTGAAACAAGTCAGAAAATACCACTTTCTTCTATGATATTCTAATATTGTTCAAAGCAAATTGTTTATTATCTATCTTTAGTTTTGCAGGGTCTGTCAACCATGAGGGCTCTATTTTTGTTTGTTATAGAGTATGGATGTTGATCTTACCTTGTCTCCTCAATGTAAACCGATTCAAGCACCGATGCTGCATACTCCAGGTTTTTCTTGAGGTCAGCAAGTGAAGCCTCTCCTCTCTCCAGTTGCTTCACCAGACATCGTAATCTAAAACAGAGATTCAGCAGTCATTGAATAAATGGGATTATTTCCTTTCTATACTAACACATTAGATTAATTAGAAATTATACTGAATTAATCTTGTTTGGGTTCACTGCACCGAGACATGCTTTGCCTTGTTAAAATACAGCTCTCTTTTCTACTAAAAAGAAGCGGATAAACAATAAAACAAACAAGACATGTTACAATGTGCTCACCAAAGCTTCTGATTTTGTTCTATTATAAATTTGTTAAATGAAATATTTCCAAGAATGACTATATGTCCAAAAAATAAAAATATAAAATAAGGAAACAACATTTTTCTTCTGTTATGGGTCACACTTAAATATTTTTATTTCATTTGAATTATTATTTAATATAGTTCTATTTAAATCATATGTAGAGGTAAGTATTCATTTCATTACTATACAAGGCCATCTCCGCAGTTTTGCTGTTTTTCAAGCTGAATCACTGCTGGGACACATGGTTAAAACCGAGCATTGTTTAACATTTGAAGCTCCAACTGAGTGTTCTTTCTACTCTGTTAAATCCAAACATCTGCTGTTTGATAGGTCAGTTCTGAAAAAAAAAAATTGCAAGCTTTTGATGTAGGACTTTGAATCTCTGGATGCATTTGCATGTTTTACTAACTAAAATAGAAGCAGCACAAACACTAAAGTACCATTTGGTCAAGCGATAAAGCTTGACCAAATGGTACTTTAGTGTTTGTGCTGCTATATATATATATATATATATATATATATATATATATATATATATATATATATATATATATATTATTTTTTTTTGTAATAGTTTATTATAGTTTTATTTATAGTTTTGATGAAAAGGTTGTAGCTATGACCTTTAACATTTTAGACAGAAAACATGGTTTGAAAAGAAGATAAATAAAAGAGAGAAAGAGAGAGAGAAATTAACATTGAGCAGAGGAGAAGGATCGGTTTTAGTCTATATCTCCAAGAACATTCTGCTCTACAACTTATTCTAAACAAAAAGTTTAATTTAATGTTGATTGATTTCCATTATATTGTTTCCTTTAATGTTTACATTTTTTTCTGGAAAATTCTGTCTTTATCTGTTCAAATTCACAGTAGGGCTGCGCACCATGAGCATATTGTAAAATAAATACAAAAAACAAGATAATTGATTGGTTTAAATGTTTTTGTTTACTGTTTTATCAATTACTCAACAGCTTGAAGTATTGTGCAGTCAAATAGACCCCTTTAAAATTTAGCCAGTCAAACAGATTTCTTTACATTATATGCTATCCCACTGCATGTGGACACGGGTGGATATCAAACAGCTGACCAAGTTCATTGTTTTGCATTGACTGACAACAAGATGACAATAGTAAATGTTAGTGCTAAGCACTAATTTTTATTGCAGATATTTTGGTTTTAAGCGAGACAACATACAAACAAATTTATCTTGCAGGACACGCTGAGTGCTGGCAACTATTTGAGGAAAGACAGCTAAATTCTTTTTTCATCTCTAATACAACCACAAAGACCTGTGTGAAAATGTCCAAAAACCGAAGTTGTAAACAATTAAAGGTATAATGGAGGATTTTGGTGAATTTAAAAAAAAAAGACCCACCCACTCGCTCCTGAGGGTTAGGCTATTAAATGCATGCGAGAGGATACACAAGCCCATTTTTCAATGTTGCTTTTTACATCGCTCATGCAAGCTAAAGCCCCTGTCACACCTTCATGATTTAGACCAGCATATGCCTGACGTACGAAAAATCTCGCAAAAACGCTGGAATACATTGGATAAGTTATGGGTATGTTTTGTATAAGTTATGAGCACGATAAAGCACGCTGGCACATGTTGACATACAGCAAGTATGTCGAGAAGTTTTGAGTATGCTCAAAAATTCCAAATGTATGCCAGCGTATGCTCATACATGAGCCATAAGCTACAGGTAAGTTATTTGATCATTGATTAAGTGTACGTTAATCATAAGTTGTGGTGTCTAGATTATCCAAAAACTATGATTAACTTGTGTATCTTTCCATTGGCATTACGCTTCTGTGTGTTATGCATACGTTAGGCTGTCGTTGGACATAAGTTCTAGACTTGTTAAAAAGTTCAGCCAGTGTTTTAGGCGATTCTGGAACATAAGGCTTTTGTGGCTAAAAGGGCAAGGTGTGACAGAACCCTTACTTTCCATAAGAAGATTTGCAATTTTTCCACTATGAAAGACTCACCACTGGTAAGTAAAACAGGGGACAAGCATGTAGGACGGCCTTAGGTAAACTTATCACTAGAACATATAGACAGTTATTTCAACAGCAAATAATTAGTAATTTAAAATGTATAATTACTGTAAATATTAATGACTGCAAAATAGCATCGGATAAGATATACTAAATAAGTGTGTTTAGCATTCCCATATCATCAATGCCAAAAATAACATTAAAAGTGGCATCTCCAATTAACACACCATCACCTCTTGCTGTTCACCACCTGTTGTTCTGTAGGTAGCAAATAAATGCCCACAGAGGTTACAGTTGATGATAAATTATTAAAGAAAGCCATGGGTGACTTCCGATGAATCCATTGATCACCTATATTCCCTCAAAGCACAAATCCACTCTCACCATAAAGTTCCAGCAGAATTTGAGTATCAGGTGATATATAAGCATTAGTTTTGTTTATATAGTTTCTCCAAGAGTGATAAAATATCAATATATTAAAAACATATGTACTGAACATCAACATAATAGTATATTTGCATGTTGGTGATTACAGAGCAATCTATCACAAACAAAACCAATAATAGGTGTTTTTTAATGTAAGACAAAAAAACATGGAGTTGTATACATTCAGCATTTAGTGGCAAACAAAATATATATGCCACAAAACTGTATAACATGTGCAACTGAAAAAATATAGGTTAAATAAACAAATCATAAAAAAGTAACATTGTTGACCTCCTAACATAAAGACTTTTAGCAGTGCCCACACCTTTCCTGTGGCTACAGGTCAGGAACCTCCCAAATATCCCCCAAGAGACATCAATAGAAACTCAAGATAGCCAGCCCTTTTAGAGGCAGGTACCATGCATAACACTCAGGCAAATGAAGAATGCTCTTAAGATCATGATGTTCATGATGTGTTCATGTTTATAGGGGAGTGTTGGCCTAGTGGTTAGAGCAGTGCACGTGTGCTCTGAGAAGGTTGCAAGTACCCAGCTCAATCCTTACAGCCTCAACTCTGGGTTCCTGAGCAAGACTCTCAACCCCACACTACTCCCCGGGCACCACACAATGGCAGCCCACTTCTCCCCAAGGGGATGGGTTAAATGCAGAGAGTGAAATTCCCCATTGCGGGACAAAGAAAACAAAAAAATATCCATATAACCCCAAAGCTTCTTAATGGATTTTCCATTCTGAATGCTGTTTTCTAACTTGCCATTATGTGCTTTTTATGGCTTGGATCAGGAGCTCAGTAACCATAGGGAGGCGGCCTGTTCCAGGCCCAACAGACCAGTGGTTGCAGTGTTTTTTGTTTATTTTTCTACCACATAAAACACAGTACAAACTCTAGTAAGCAATTCAGGAAATATACCGAAGGCTGCTCCAAAACATTTAATCCACCAAAGCAATATGACTCTGCATTGATTTTCTCCTCTACTCTATCAAGCTACCCAGGGCCTTCTGTGGAGAAACTTCCCCACAGTACAATTATTCCACCACCAGGTTTCACAATGAGGGTGCTGTGTTTATGGTGTTGTGGAAAGGGTGCAGACCAGGAAGCAGAGTTGTAGTTTAACACACATCTCTGCAGCTTCTCTACTGTTACCCACTCTTTACTCCATCCAGACAGTGTCTTGCCCACGACCAAAATCTAATAAATTAGCAAAGATTCCCAAAGGAGTAAATCATGATAATCTAATTAAAATAAAAATAACTCCAATTGGGGAAAAAGTTAAAACAATTAAATGCGGTCTGTTTAACATAAGATCGCTTTCCTCTAAAAGTCTACTAGTTAATGACTTGATTTGTGATAATCACATTGACTTGTTTTGCCTTACAGAAACCTGGCTGCAGCAAGAGGATTATGTGAGCATAAATGAGGCAACTCCTTCAAGCTATTTAAATTTTCACATCCCCAGAAGTTCTGGGCGAGGAGGAGGAGTAGCAACAATCTTCCAGTCTGACTTACTGATTACTCCCAAAACAATTAATACCTACAACTCTTTTGAACATTTAACCCTTAATTTCCCTGATCCAAATTTCAAGGCAAGAAAACCTCTTCTTTTTGTAACTTTGTATCGTCCACCAGGTCCTTACTCTGAATTTTTAGATGAGTTTTCAGAGTTCCTTTCTGATTTGGTATTAAATACTGACAGGGTCATCATAGTGGGAGATTTTAACATCCATGCTGACATTGAAGGCGATAGCTTAAGAGCAGCCTTTAATGCTATCTTAGACACTATTGGCTTTGTTCAAAATGTGAATAGTCCCACGCATTCTCATCTTCATACTTTGGATCTTGTGCTGACATACGGCATAGAATGTGAAGAAATAACAGTATTTCCTCACAACCCTGTCCTCTCTGACCACTTTCTAATAACCTTCAGGATTACTTTAACAGAGTTCTCCTCCCCCAAAAGAAGGTTCAATTTTAGTAGATCTTTATCAGATAGTGCAGTTATAAATTTTAAAGAATCTGCTTCACTTTCTCTCTCCTCTGTGTCACTGAGCAGTGCTGCAGAGTGCAAAAGCTTAGCTTATTCCCCTTCACAGGTTGATGATTTTGTTGATGGGGTTGCTAGTTCTCTGCGTATTGCCTTAGACAACGCAGCTCCTTTGAAAATAAAAACCGTTAAAAATAGAAAGCTTGCTCCTTGGTTTAATGCAGAGCTGCGTACTTTGAAGCAAAATGCTAGGAAACTGGAGAGAAAATATCGCTCCACAGGCCTGCGAGAGTCCTTTCTAGTCTGGAAAAATGGTTTACTGCTGTATAAGAGGACCCTTTGTAAAGCAAGAGCAGCATACTTCTCCTCATTAATAGAGGAGAATAAGAATAATCCTAGATTTCTTTTTAATACAGTTGCCAAACTCACCCAGAGCCATAGCTCTGTTGAACCGTCCATTCCACCTGCTCTTAGCAGCAATGATTTTATGGGATTCTTTATAAATAAGATTGATCTTATTAAAAATAAGATCATAAGCACTCCTCTATCCGCGATTGTACCTGAGGTAGTCATGGAATCTGAACCGGGTTTAGACTGCTTTGATCCAGTTGAACTCTCTGAATTAGCAAAATTATTGTCTTCATCTAAGCCTTCAACTTGTATGTTAGATCCAGTTCCAACCAGGTTATTTAAGGAGGTATTCCCTTTGATCTCCTCCTCCATTTTAGATGTGATTAATCTATCTCTGTTACAGGGATATGTACCTAAAGCTTTTAAGGTTGCTGTAATTAAACCTCTGCTTAAGAAACCGTCTCTTGACCCAGATGACTTGGTCAATTATAGACCTATATCCAATCTTCCTTTCTTATCCAAAATTCTTGAGAAAGTAGTTGCCAAACAAGTTTGCGATCACTTCCACCATAATGAACTTTTTGAAGAGTTTCAGTCTGGCTTTAGAGCTCATCATAGCACTGAAACAGCTCTGGTGAAAGTCACTAATGATATTCTCATGGCCTCAGATAATGGACTTGTATCTGTGCTCGTCCTGTTGGATCTTAGTGCTGCATTTGATACAGTTGACCATAATATTCTTTTAGAAAGACTTGAATATTTTGTTGGAATTAAAGGAACAGCACTAGACTGGTTTAAATCTTATCTATCTGATCAAATTCAGTTTGTTCATGTTAATGATAGATCTTCAACACGCTCAAAGGTTACCTGTGGAGTACCACAGGGATCAGTGCTAGGACCAATTCTCTTTACTTTATACATGCTCCCAATTGGTAGAATTATTAGACAGCATGGGATTAATTTCCACTGTTATGCTGATGATACCCAGCTATATCTGTCTATAAATCCAGATGAAGCTAACCCATTACATAGATTACAGGCATGTCTTGAAGACATAAAAACCTGGATGACTCTTAACTTTCTGCTTCTGAATGCAGACAAAACAGAAGTTATAGTCTTTGGACCAGAGTCTCTGAAAAAGAAACTGATTAGCCAGTCACTTCATTTGGATGGGATTAAACTGATTTCAGATAATAAAGTAAAAAATCTTGATGTTATTTTTGATCAGGACCTGTCATTTAAATCCCATATCAAAGAGGTTTCTAGAATTTCCTTCTTTCATCTGAGGAACATTGCAAAAATTAGAAATCTCCTGTCCAGGGGTGATGCTGAGAAACTAGTCCATGCATTTGTTACTTCAAGGCTGGACTATTGTAATTCTTTACTATCAGGAAGTCCACAAACTGTAGTTAAAAGCCTTCAGCTGATCCAAAATGCTGCAGCCAGAGTTCTAATGAAAATTAAAAAGAGAGATCATATCTCGCCTATCCTGGCTTCTCTTCATTGGCTTCCTGTTAAATCAAGAATAGAATTTAAAATCCTCCTTCTCACATATAAAGCCTTAAATGGCCAAGCTCCATCTTATATCAGAGATCTGATTGTTCCTTATGTTCCTAACAGAGCACTTCGCTCTCAATCTGCAGGTTTACTAGTGGTTCCTAGAATTTCTAAAAGTAGAATGGGAGGCAGATCTTTTAGTTATCAGGCTCCTCTCCTGTGGAACCAACTACCAGTTTTAGTCCGTGAGGCAGACACCCTGTCTACTTTTAAGGCTAGGCTTAAAACTTTCCTTTTTGATAAAGCTTATAGTTAGGATGGCTCAGGTTATCCTGAGCTATCTCTATAGTTATGCTGCTATAGGCTTAGACTTTTGGAGGACATAGGGACCCCCATTTCATCATTCTGCTTCATTCTCTCTCTGTTCTCCTATTCTGCAGAATCTGTTAGTTCAATCTCTAACCTTCTGCTCTCTCTGCTTTTCCTCAGAGTAGCTTTGCCTCGTCTGTTCCTGTTTGGCTGTGACGTCATCCTGGAAAGAAACATCAGCTGTGCTGCTTCTATCAACACCCTTGTTTATAGATGTTGGAGATCGGCCTGTTTTCCAGTGTGGTCCTGTTTCTCTGACCGTGACTGAGTGGATGTGCTCTCTTCGTCCTCTGGCATGGGAGCTGCCTTGGAGCTCGTCTGCCTGGCTGTGTGTTTCCTGGACGGGGCCGCCTTTTACAGCTGCTTTTTGTATCTCTGCTTCTGTCTCCTTGAACCCCAGTCGGCCTCGGCAGATGGCCGCTCACACTGAGCCTGGTTCTGCTGGAGGTTTCTTCCTGTTAAAAGGGAGTTTTTCCTCTCCACTGTCGCTACAAGCATGCTTAGTGTGGGGGATTGTATTTGAGTCAATGAGTCAATGCAATCAACTGGTTTTCCTTAGATAGAAAACTTTGTATCAATTTGACTGTATGATCTGGTTGAACTGTAAAGTGCCTTGAGATGACATGTGTTGTGAATTTGGCGCTATATAAATAAACTGAATTGAATTGAATTTTGGCCAAACATACCATCTAATGGCTAAGAAGTTCATTTTTTATCTCATCAGACCAAAGACCATTTCTCCATTTGACCATGGAGTCTACCACATGGTTTGGGTAAACTTGAGTCTAGTTTTGATAGAAATCCTTTTCAACATGCCCTTTTTTTGGCCTATCTCCTAAACAGCTTTGACTGGTAAAGAATCTGGACAGCAATTGTGGCATGTACAGTCTCTCCCATCTCACCCACTGAAGCTTGTAACTCCTTCATAGTGGTCGCAGATGTCTTGGTGGCTTCCCTTCCAGCCTCCTTCTTGCCACTCAGTTTGTGAGGACAGCCAGCTGTAAGCAGATCTGCACAGGTTTCATATTCCTTTCGTTTCTTTATCAAGGATTGAACTGAACTCCTCAAAATGTTTACCCAGTAGCTAGTCTTTTGTAGCTGTCCCCCAACTTCCACTTTTCAATAATCTCCTCTCTGAGTCGCTTGGAGTAATCTTTTGAAGAAGTAGATGTGTTTCGATAACAGTTTCTCTGTTATTTGGCTCATTATAAGTCAGCGTATAACTATAATCCCACTGTAATTCTAAATTTTTTCAGCAAAATTTTGTCAGTCAAAGGGCCATTACAAAACAAGGGTATCGGCCTGATTTCCACTTTATATGAGTCTTTTTTTAGCACAATTGCCTGCTAAGTTGCACAACACTGGTGAGAACCCTGCAAGGTAATACCAAATGCATTTAGTGGCAACCACAGACCTACTGAACATGTATCTTTCAAACATCTGAACTTATAACACGTGCGAGGCTATGAATCCATAAGGTTCCTCCAAAGAAAGTTCAACAGTGGGTATGTGAACCCCCAGACCTGCCCCAGACACGCAGCGGCCCTCCAAGCACGGAGCCTCGGGAGACCTCATCGAGGACATCAGCTTGATTTGCAGACTGCTTAAAATCAATAATTTCTGAGTTTCACTCTAAGTTTTAACTATGGCACTAAATGTTTTAAGGTACATAATGCATCTACATCATGTTAGTGAGATTAAGTGATGGTACTATTGCATCGCTGGTTCAACATTTAAGTCAACATTTAATGGAATCCAACACTGAGTTAGATGGATTCTGTACAAGAGCTGAAATTGTAGGGCTTACATCTTCTATGTCACTCATGGGTGCAAGATTAAAAAAAAAAAAAAAAAGTTTAGTAGGCTGGTTTGTTTAATAATCATCTTTTTATGCTAAAGAGTTAGGAAGGCAATGTGCTAGCTTCAATTTCTCATGGCAAAAGACTTCCAATGCCCTTGAAATAATAGACTGATAAGTATAACTGGGAAATATACCGGGTAATATTTATTACATCATCCTAAAAAATGCAAAAAGACTAAAATGTTTATGAATGTCTTTATTTGCAAATAAACAGAGGCCCAATTCACATATATCATCAAAATATCCTAAAAGAGTGAATACATAAACAGCAACACTAGAATCATTGTGCTTGTTATTTAGATCAGACATGTTCACAAGTCATTTTTTGCAAGTCCAAGTCAAGTCTCAAGTCTTGAGAGCTCAAGTCCAAGTCAAGTCTCAAGTCTTGAGAGCTCAAGTCCAAGTCAAGTCTCAAGTCTTGAGAGCTCAAGTCCAAGTCAAGTCTCAAGTCTTGAGAGCTCAAGTCCAAGTCAAGTCTCAAGTCTTGAGAAGGCCTGTCGCAATAATCCATTAATCGCACAAAAAATTCTAATCACTTGATTAATTTAAAAAAGTGAAATAATTTTTGTGCTTGCTTGTTTCTCCTTGTGTTTTCATCTCCGTCACTGAGACGGTATACCTTAAAGGTCGCTATTATATCTATGGAATTATCATTATCTTGAACTGCTAAATGAAAAAATACAATTAAAAAAAGCACACACGCAAAATTTTTTTCCAGATAAATTTAGCGTTTTCTTACAGTATTTCCTGACATTTGTGGTTACAACTTTTTCTAGTTTTAGCAGTAAATGTCTGCTCTTTTATTGAAAATGAGGACTGTGGAAAAAAAAAAAAACAATCACAATCCTGCCGTCCACGTACTGTTGCGTCAGTGACGTCAGTGTGTTGCACAGGGAAAAATATGATTTATGGTTTTCTTTCATTTAAATGTTAGTTTTATGCTTTGCATGTTTGGAGAGGAAGATATGATTTGTTTTTCTTTGTATTTTCTTCTTGAGCTTTGCATGTTTTGATGTTTCTTTTTTATATGATTGTTTTCCTTTATTTTAGACTTTTGAATTTTTCCTGCATGTTGGGTTGTTTTGGTTTGTTTTTCCCTTGTGACAATCCATGCGCACTGGACTGAAGTAGTTGTCTGAGGAGGCGGAGTGCATTAATTGCGCTGTGTAATTGCTGCGTTCAGGTGTGAGCAAGGGCTGATTAAAGCCGACATAAAAGGAGTCTGAAGGAAAGGAGAAGGAGAACGTAATCTGCAGGTGACAGACACGGACGCGCTGCTGAGGGAGATGCAGGCGGGATCCGTGCGCACTGATGGCCCAGTAAGGAGTATTAGGGCAGAGGAGGAACCTCGCCTGTAAGTAGCGCTCCCCCTCGCTTAAAGCATAAACAGGAATATATCTTCCGACGGGGTTTTGGCGCGTGGATGCTGGCGTTCTCCTTGCTTCTCTTTTTAGCTGGATCGGTCTGGAAAGGGGTGTGGCACGCCAGGGAGTGGAACAGTGCTGGAGCGCCGCAGAGTCTGTGGATCAGCCAGTGGGTGCTCCAGGCCGATCACTCGCACCAGAAGCAGCATAACAAGCGGAGCCCAACTTCCAGCCTCTGATTTTTAAGGAAAACTCTTGAATTTTAGGTTTTATCAGGAGAAGAAAAGGACTGTTTTATTATGCCACTTTTGCTGTGGCTTTTTGTATAAATAAAACACTTGAACTTGAGTGCTTCACGGTTTGGGTCTTTGAGTTTTCTTCTGTGTGCGGGTAAGGCGAGCGGCGATCAGTCAAGTTAGTAAAACAAAAAACACTTAAGTGTTTTTACACTGGAATAAAATATTGTTCACAAGTCAGAAGTCACGAGTCTCAGTCGAGTCTGAAGTCTTTTAAATGCAAGTCTAAGTCGAGTCTGAAGTCATTAAATATGCGACTTAAGTGCGACTCGAGTACGAGTCACAAACTCGAGTCCCCATCTCTGATTTAGATGGTGCTAATGACAGTTATTAAGAGCAGCTGTGTACCAGTAAGGTTTCGTCCTTGGGTAGAAATATAGATACAAATACAACCATATATCTCGTGAAAAAAATTGCACATTTGCATAATGCTTAAGAAAAAAGGTGCGTGGTTGGAAATTTTGTTTTAAATATTTTTGAAAACTGTTTTGCTTTAAAGGAAATATTAAAAAGAGGGGGGAAAAACTCACAGCTTTGTTTTACGAATAACAGCCAAGACAGGATGTCCAACCAATTATTTGTTCGAGGGAAATATTATTCCGTCCACTTACCCCAACAACTATGGGTGCTGTCTGTTTACTTATTTTTTATGGTAAAGGACAGAAATAATAAAAAAATCTTGCATTGTATTATGAAGGTTAAATAATAATGTGTTACGAAAACAGTACAAATTAAGTTGGTGAAAGAGGAGCAGTCATATAATGATTAAAAAAGAAAGAAGTAGAAGCGAGGAGCTTAGTTACAGTATTGTCAGTTAATGATGATGCCAGCAAAAATAAAGTAACATCTTTCACCTGAACCCATAAACACTGAAGGCAATGCACTGTGGTAATATCATGGCTCAGGGCCAAAGTAGATCCTGGGCAAAATGCCATCTGAATTATTAGATCTGAGCTATTGGAAAGTCAATGCTTTTTAATTATAGCCTCAAAACAGCTCAGTGTCCTATCACCATATCGTTTCTAAATGTAACTTATGGGGAATTCCTTCCAGCTTTTACAAAAAATTAAAGTTTTACTATGAAGCTAAACCTTGAGGCGATAGATCTAGACCTTAAACTTCATGGTATGTATATTATATTATATCATATGTATGCACTGATATCTTTATATTCGGCTCGAAGACCAAAAACATTTATTTAAAAAATATTGCTTTTTATATATAAGACTGTAAATATTCTCAGATATAATTACCACTCCAGTCTGCCAGTTCAAAGTTCTTGTTGCTGGACAACAAACAGGCCTGTTAACCACAGCCCACAAACCAGAGACTTAAGACTTAGAGAACATCTCATTCATCCACAAAGCCTTGTCACAGCTGAACATTGAGCCAGAGTGATGAACAAGTCTCACTCTGAATACCCAGCCTCTACTTTCACCAGAGAACATGTGACTGCTGGGTAGAGGAGATTCTAAAAATATGAATGCGTGCATGCAACCTTTATTTAACCAGGTATGTCTCATTGAGATTACAAATATCTTTTAGAGGAAGATAGCAAAAAAAAACCAAGAAAAAAAAAAAAAACCCACAGCAATCCATATAAAATACAATTACAATATCAAAACATTTGCAAAAAATATGTACAAGCTGATTAAGAATGGCCTTAAATACCCCAAAAGAAACTACTCCCTATTCCCTTCAACTGCAGTTCTGCATTTGAATCCAATCTGAAGAAACAACAGACTGATTTTTTTTTGCCATTCTCACCACAAACCTTAGGCACAGACAATTTAATATGAAAAGCTCACATGGAAAGAAAAGAAAAGAGTTTTGTTGATACAATTACTAGTCTTTGGCACTCAGACATGGGCAGGAAACATTAGCACAGAATTTGCTTTGATATGCATAAACAGGAGTAAATAATAGAGATGTTTGCCCCCCAGGTCTGAAACTGGTGGTGGAGTGGAGAGGATAAGGTGGTCTGTCCATGACTGCTGGCTAGTGAGATGGTGTGCTTGAGCTTTATGAAGAGATCCGGTGGGATGCATGAGCTGATACTAGTGCATCACTCTGGGACCTGGAAGATGGACGTCCAGCTTGGATAACACAGGTTGCGTAAACCTGTCCATGAAGAGCAAGCATGAAGTGACAGTGGAGAGGAAAAACTTGCCTTTGGGACGGAACCTCTCGCGATTATGTTTCCATAATCTAAAATGGGCAAAAAAGTTGCAGACATTTCCAAGCCTCATGTCATAAGCAAGATCTAACTCTTAAACAGAAACCCAGGCTCAGCTTCAACTCTTTTACAAGATGTTGAATATGAGGACCAAACCCAGACAATCACAATTATCAAGCCTAGACATTTACATGTATACTGAGATGAAACCTATATCTGATGACCTTAAAAAATAATAAAGGGCTTCATCAATTGTAATCTTGCTAATCTCTTAGAATTTGAGAACATTACTTTAGATTTTGTAGCATTTAACACTTGTTTTAGATAAACCAAATATGACTGAACCGCATCAAAAGCTGCTTGTAGGTTATCAAAAGCACTTTTAACTTTATTGTCAGCACGATATAAGACAGTGTCAATGGCATAAAAAGGAAATTTAGCATGGGGGACATTTTAATCTAAACCGCTAAAATAGATTTTAAAAGAAAGGGGACATTGGATTAAGTCTTGTAGGACACCTTTTAATACCGAAGGGCAGCTGGAAAACCAACTTTCCACTTACTCACATCATACCTCGCCAGACAAGTAGTTTTGAAACCATTTCACTGAAAGACAAGAGAGTCCAATATCAGAGAGCCTTTTAAGAGAGATTTTGTGATGAACTGTATGAAACGCTTTTGATTCGTCAATAAAAAGTGCTGCACAATATTGTTTTTTTGTCAACATAAGCAATTATGCTAATCTTTCTACCTTCCAAGAGTGTCCAACAGTCAAGGTCAGCAGTTCCCAACCAGCTCAAAAAGATGTTAGTAAAACACTGACAGTTTGCCACAATCGCTTTGCGAAAGCCCAATATAGTCTACATCGCCTTACCAAACCTCTAGGCCTCTAGGTCAGAGTTCTTGCCTCTACACCTGCCATAAGTCAACTGGACTTGCTTCTTTTTCAGCTTCACAGCATCCCTTAACCCGGGCATACACTGTGCGACAAAACCGCAGGGTTTCGTCTTACAGTGTGACTTTGCAGCTCACAATATATGTTCCTGCACAACGCTTTGATGCGATCTACCTGCTCACACTGTACGTCTAAAAACCAAGTCAGACTCAGCCCTGCAGTGAGATGGAGCTGCTCTGACTCATCTATCTGGAAGCCAAAGGAGTAGAAGAGGAATATGAAGATTACTAGAGTAAAACGCCCTGCGTTGGCAATTTGTCCAATCTAGTGTGCTGAAAGCCCTAAGAAGAAAAAGCAGCGACGTATTTGGACAAAGACATGGCAGACGGTCTGTCAATTTTACAGAAAGAACTCCATTTCATCCGCACTCCTGCCATCCTTCTGTGCTTTCATCTGAGAGGAAGAAAAAGAGGACTCCTTGTTTGTGCATGCCCACTGAGCAATTTGCCCACAACAGCTGACTGAAAATCAAAAATGTTTGAGTTTCTCCCGACCTGGCGATTCCTGATAGGGAGGTGGTCATGAGAGGCTGATCACCCTCGTTACCCCCTTACACTACATGACACACTGTCAGGCTGAAAGTCGGCCAATCAAAAACTTCTTGCATGACTTGAAAGTCGCCCCGAACTGGGCAAGAAAATCGCATGGTGTATGCCCGGCTTTCCTGATGATTCTCACAAATGGATTCCTGCAATGACAGGCACAGCACACCATGTGGCTGCAGCTATGGCAGGCTGCATAGACGATAAAGCGGAGAACACGGTGCTCTCTTATTCTATGTCCCCATCCTCTTCTAGAATTTGAGAAAAGCTCTCCCCGAGGTGGGGGTTAAATTCATCTTGGTGTGATCCACATCCACACTGCAGCTGCATGGCAGCTGCAACACATCTAGTTTGAGCCCTGCATCATTAGGTCATTTGTTTCATGATCGGTTAAGCTTAGCATTAGATAGACAATCAGATATTGATCTTGTAATGATTCCTCTCAGTTTCTGCATGAGCAGCTGCTGTGTGCAGTCAAATATGTCACTTCCTGCTCCCTCTGTTGCATAAGGCAATCAAGGTTTGACTGAATATACCTTCAGCAGCTCCAGTTATTAGGAGTTCAACTAGGAGGAGCCCTATATATTTCTGCCTATCCCTGTGGTTAACCAACAGATCATTGACAGCCATTTGTGTGAGCAGACCATCAGGCATTCCTAGTTTTGACCTCCGTCTCTTTCCTGTTTTCTCCCGCCTTTCTTGCCCCAGTCTAATACTCCTGTTGGCTTCCAATCTCTGAACATTGCCCTCCTGTCCTGTCTCATGACCAAGTTTGTTTACCTTTGCCCCTGCCTGTATTTTCCTATTTTTCACATATGACTCAAGCCTGGATCACAGATCTGCCTCGGTCCCTATGGAAACCTCTGCCAGTTAGTATGCTTCCTGTTACCTATTCTGTCGGCTGGATCCCATATTCCCATCTCATCTAGCCCTTCTGGAAACTTCTGCCCTGTGGATTGTTTCCCTGTGCATAATGCCCAAACTGAAGCAGACTTTCCCATAGACTTTGCCCTTTCTATCACCATCAGAATTTGGACCAGTCATTGGTGAATTTTAGGGGCTACAATGTGGTGCAGTTGGTAGCGCTGTTGCCTTGCAACAAGAAGGTTCTGGGTTAGACTCCTTGTCCAGGGTAAATCTGCATGGAGTTCGCCTGTCTCTCTGTGCATTCGTGGGTTCTCTCCAGCTACTCTGGCTTCCTCCCACAGTCCAAATACATGACTGTTTTTCTCTACATTGTCCTCTTTGTTGTGAGTGTGTGCGTGGTTGTTTCTCTGTGTCATTTGAACAGTGACTGGTGACCCGTCCAGGGTGTAACCCGCCTCTTGCCCGTAGATGGCCAGAAAGGCCAATTAATTAAAA